TCTTTCCTATGGAACAGTAATTATGTAATTAGTGTGGTGAGTGGTGCACTGTTAAAATGAATGATGGTGATGGTTGTCCAAAGTGGGACAGGCTGCAGGGGCCTATGGTTAGACCTATGTGTAAAGACAGGCGTGGTGTTAAACTGAAGAGAGCAGAAGAAATTCAGAGCTACAGGCAGACGGAGAGACAGCGAGTACTTGCAGTGACAGAGAGCCCTGTCTAAGCAGCATTCTGTAATGAGTCATTGTAAGGCTTTTTTTATTCCCACTGAGGTGGAGGAAGAAGGACGTACACGCGTATATTGATCTAATGATATGCTTTTCCTGATTATTTTTGACTTGACTTAACGTGTTGTCATTGTTTGCTATGGACGTTCTGATTCACTTAATGCCTGTGGAAGGATGAAACTGAGTAGAGCTTAAGTGCAAAAGGCTTATAGTTTGATCTGTGATAACTTCCAGAGTAGATAAAATTAATGAAGAGAGGAATTAAGTTAAAACTGTATCTATGAAACCAATGTAGACTTTTTGAAGGCAATTCTGTGTTAATTTGACCTATGTTGAAAGGTTTAAAAGATCTAAAGTATCAAGTCCAATTTTCAATCAAGTAACAAGCACCCATGAGTCTGCAAGATCTGCTGACTGCAGATGGGACTTAGTTTCTTTTAATGCTTGAAGATGTTTCTGAAAATAGGACTGGGCTATCTAACTTAAACCTTGCAAGATAAGCATATAATTCCTTACAGATCTGTCACACCTTCATGACTTAGCGTATAATAAGCTACTCTGCTTGACTGAAATTGTGACTATTGTCAGACATGTCCAGGATTGATTCAAGCTTAAAGACTTTTTGATGGAGTTGTTCCACTATTAACCTTCCAGAGTGTTAGCCAGTGCCTCAAATATTTGTCAGGACTTTTTTTTATATGTAGCAAAGAACTGGGAGTTGTGACTGTGGTGTATCAAACATGATCTCTTAATACTACCCAGATGTCAACTGGAAGGATATCTATGCCAATTAATGTATATAGTACCCATTAACTCCACCTGAGTGCTGGCATCCATTCAATAAAATGCTCCTTTTTAAAAGTATAAATGTCTGAAACATTAACAAACATGTAAAAGGAACAAAAATACCACAGCCAGTTTTTAAAAAAGAACTGAATCCTTTTGTTCTTGCTTTATGTGCATGTTTCACTGAAGTTCTAAATCATTAAATTAAATTGTATCTTTCAAAGCTTTTAATTAAATTTTTCATCATACTTTTTATTTCTCTCTATAGTATAATGAAGAGCTTCACTATGTAGAGCCGTGTCTGAATGGAACATTAGTTCAAGCAGACAGAGCCAACAAAGAGGTAAGGAATGAGAGTAACAAAACAGTGGAGAGATAGGATGCAGTGCGTAACAAGGTACTATAATGATCTTTTCCTAGTATAATGCATTCCATTATTAGAATTTATTAATTATTCTCCTTATGCCATTCCAAAGGAGTCTTATGTGACTCAGTAGGAAGAAAAAGAAATAACGTCTTAGTCAATTTGATTAAAAAACTTAATGCAAAAAATACAGAAATAACTGAAAATATACTGTTAATAAAGTTTAGTAATTATTTTAAGTAAAATACTTCAGTTGCTTTAAATTGAACTATCATTCTGTTGCCAAAATTACCGAGGAAGAGATTGCATTCTTCAGTCAAACTAACACTAAAGTTGAAACAAAATCTCAAAACAAATGAAAACAATTATAATACTATGTGAATAAAAAAATTTAGCATTCCAAACAGGTGTGTCAAAATAATAATGCATTCGTTCAAGAAAGTTCTGTGAAAGTGTTCAAATTAATTACATCCTACTGGCATTTTTCAGAAAAAAAATTACAGTGATTTCAGTGAAAGTTTTATTTGAAAGGAGATTGCAGTATGAATCTGCAGCTTGAAGTTTAGTTTATTGCCTGCCATCCCAATGCAGTCACTCTGCGCGAGCATTACTCCATCACACGTCTTAGAAGGGTAAGGTAAGATTGTTTATGCCATGTAAATATGAAGTAAGGTAGTTGAAAAGCTCTGTGTTTCTTGTAGAGTAAAAGGCCCCTTAAAATAAGCCACTTGTGCTGTTATAGAACTCCTTCCCTGCTAAAGCTTCCTCTTTTCTTAAAGTGACTTGTCTACCTATACTGAGTCTTCCTTATGGATAGAGAGGGCAGCTCTCTCGTGTCTGTCTTTGAATACCTCTCTCTCTTTTTTTACCAAATGCAAATCAGATGAGTTTCAGCTCAGCACTGACTTGTGCTTAACGTTCAGTGTGGCGAGAAAGTCAATGAGATGTTATGTAAAGAACGTAGCTCTGAAAACACACTAAGTGTGTCTGTTGAGTCTTTTTACATGTACCAAGCCAAAATGAATTTGATCTTGCTGTGCTGAACTTTGCTCCGTTGTATTATTCACATGAGTTCTTTGCATTTTACCTACACATACACCTTCATTCTATAGGAATTATTCTTCATGGTCTGCTTCCTTAATATACTTGATATTCTCCACTGTTGATTTTTAGATTATCTATCATTTGGTTACTATGTAGAATGACATGAATTGTTTCTAATCCTTTAGTGTTGAAGACTCTTATTTGTGAACTGTGATGCAGTTTTCTAAATAAGCACTTTATTGTGGGTGCATCTAATGAGTCATATGAAAGCTGTGCAAGTTCTAGACCTAAAACTAAAGAGTAAAATGTATTACCCAGATGTACTGTCTGGAATTAATCCTACTGTTAACCTTTCTATCATTCTGCAACTGATCAAAATGCAGATTGCCATACACCCATATGTTACTTAATGTCAGATTTGTTTTAATTTAATTGATCGAAAAGTTTTTATGCCACTCAGAGGATGTTCAGATTTTATGAACAGTGCTTGATTATTCAAAATAGCTAAGTACAATTTCGCATTTTGTTCTTTGGAGTAAGCTTCAATGTAACTTCTGGTTAGCCAAATTACTTTTAAAAAAAAAAAATATTTTGGAATAAATTTGTGCTTTATTTTGCCTGTAAATTGAATAACGCGTTCAAAGTTTCAGACAATAACTAAATACGATCTTTTTTACAGTTACTCATATTAGTAAGCTGGTTACTGTTCTTTCCTTGAAAGACCAGAACTAAAGAGTAAACTTGACATAGGTAGCATGTAATAGTTCCTTGCATTTTTATATACTATGACTTTGTCAATCTTCATTTGTTTCTTAGTTTGTGGAAATTTATGTGTTATTATTATTTTTCTAGGTTGTGTAATGAAGTTAATAATTTATTTGCCTAAACACTGGAGGGCACAAAAGTGCCATTGTCCTGAGTACAGCTCAGAGTATAAGGATTGTCAAGGAGATGGACAACCACTTAATTCTGAATGAGTAATTCAGTTATTGTGCTCCTGAACTAACATAGTTACAAATAACTTTCTGAATTGTCTGATATTGTTGTAAGATCTGATACTGTGTGATTTGAATATACCAACACAGCAGAATTACCTGAGGGCCTCATCAAAAACTCACAGAATTTCCTGGAAAAGTTTCTCTTGAATTCATAGTCTTTTAGTCAGGTCAATAGAAAAAAAAAAAGATGGCTTAAAATGTTGTTGCTATGCACATTCTGAAACTGGTCAAGAGCTATCAGATGAACTCATCGTAAGAATTCAATCATTTGGGTTGTTACTTTCATTTCTGTGAGTTTGACAAATCTACCTGGCTTCTCTTGTCATTTTTTTTCTGTGTGATTGCCAAGTGTCCATTGTAATATTAGACGAAAGATGAAATTACATTTTCTCAACCAGTCTTGCTAGGTAAATGCTCTTTTGCATGTTCACTGGTAGTCATAGCTCGCTCTTTTGTTTATTGAATGATAAAACAGAAACAAGAAAAACGTCATGACAAACACTGTATACACGTATTTTTTCAAACAGCCATTATCAACATATAATCATAAGTTTCTGTATGGGCAAAGTAGAGCAGGTGATTGACAGGCAATGTTTTAAAATATATGCCAATGTTTCAATTTATATGTGTATACATATGCCAGATTTTTAGAAGTCCAAAGTTGATCTGAAGATGTAACTATGTATTCCTTCCAGAAATTTCTGTTCTTTAAGTTTTGATGTCAAATACTCTCCTCAGTGAATGGGAGCAAGGATGACCACATCTGTTACTGCCAGTATAAGCTCTATTAGCACCAAAATAAACACAAGCATTTTAAAATACATTAGAACTTTTTTCTTTAGCTAGCAAATATCTATTTCCATATGCTAACTTTAAACAAAAACAATTAGAAACTGCTGTAATGGTATTTAATATTACTATAGTTTTCCCTTATTTGAAGAGAGATGTATGTTGTTGATGATCACAAGGACTGAATTTTAACTTCGCTCTACTCTACACTGCTGTATTATACACCTGACCTTACTAAGGACAGGTATTTCTTAATGCTGGAAGCATGCATAAAAGCAGTTTTACCAAGCTATTGATTTAGGCTGGGTAAACTTTAATTTCTACCATTTTGGCAGTATATTTATCTTTTTTTTTAATCATAATGGAGTGCCAATATCAAAAATTCACATTACATTGAAAAAAACACCTCCCCAACATACACAGAGACGCACCCCATTTCTTGCTAACTGTATCTTGATAGGTCATCTGACATCACCTGTAGCAAATAAACATAGAAGCAGAGATAAGAAATTACTTTCAGATGTTTAACTGGAGCTTTTTGTCTCATAAGGAAAGCAGCTGTTTGATTAACTCCAATTAAAAATTGCTTTCGCAGGATCAGTACCCCAGTCTGCATTTGTCTTGAAAGTATTTATTGAAGAGCTACTCTGCTGTCTTTATGTAAGGCTCAGATGTTTTCAAATGGAATCCTTCTACTCTGAGGATGTCACTTAAACTTGTTGAATGTCTTTTTCAATGGAGTTTTCTTTTATCTCTAAGCTTTAACAAAATAAAGTAATAGACAAAGAAAATCTGGAAGATTAGACTATCCTTATCTCTTGCACTTCATTTGCAGTGAGCTAAAGGGCAAACCAGCTTCTCAGCAGAATAAATAGGGTTAAATTATCCTAACCCAGGGGCAGATGGGCCAGGGCTGGGCTTGGGGAGAGACCAGGTCCTCGGTTTTGGGGAAAGCCAAGTGTCGTGTTTGCTTCTGCTGAGAGGATTCCCTGTCTGTGTTTCCAGCAGACACTGCCCGCTCATCCTGACCCCTTGCACAGCGGCGGGAGCAGCCAGCCTGGCTTTCCAAGGTGTAGGCAGAAGTAAAACAGTCCGGTTTGCCCCCGCAGCAGTGTGCTGCCTCAGGCGGTTGGGCTACAGCCAGAGACTGTTCTGTTCCCATGCACAGCCTGTCTAGGTAAAACGAAACCTGGGAGCATCTTCAGGGAATGGAGCTACAGGAAACTGCCTCAGCCTCAGGGCTTATAGCAGCCTGGGAAACCAATGCTTCTTACTGGTTTTGGTTCTGAATATTCAATGGGATTACAGGGAGCAAATGAACACAGTCTTTTTCACGTTCAGGGATGGATTGGAGAAATTCTTCTCCATAATGCCTAGGGAATGTAACAGGCTTCCAAAGAACGAGACTTTCAGAAAATCCAATTAGTCTTGGCGGGGTGCAGGGTAGGGGGGAAGGCTATCTGGTGTCTGGTTTACACATTTTCTGAGTGAAACAGTGTGACTCTTGCTTTTTCTTTTTTTTTTTCCTCTCCTCCACAACATCTCTTCTTTTTTTCTTTTTTTTTTTCGAGAGGGAAACAGTATTATAAGCACAGTGTTAGTTTTTCACATTGACTCTAGACCACTTATTTTCTATACCATAGTGTTGGTATGGTATGGATTCCTCATTTTTCTCTCCTTGTCTTTCAGGTAGGAACATGAGCTAGACACTAGAGTAAATCTGTAAAGTGGTTATAGAGCAAGGATGTGGCATTTCTCTTTGAATGAGAACCCAGTTTTATTGATAAAGCTGCATTTGTTTCCTCTATAATGTGCAATCTGTGTCCTGGTTGCATCTTTACTTAAATTATTACTTCCTTACGCCCGAAGCTGATGTTTTAAGTCTCTCTTCTCACAGCCATTTCAGAAATGGGTGCCTGGTTTGTTAATTTATATGATATAGGAGCCCAAGTTAACCGAACGTTCTTGCTCTTGCATTGCTTTGTGAAGTAAAGACGGCAGTTAGTCAGAAAAGAAAACATGGCATGATTACTTTTACCTTTGCAACTTTCAACCCAGCCAAACACATGTTTTGAAGATTGGTACAGATTTCATGATAGTTGGTATAGTGAGGGCAGGAAATTTTTTGTTTGTTTTTTAACAAGCCTC